CGGCCGATTTCGGTGCCTAGCGGGCGACACCATGCCCCAAATCATCCCAATTTACCCTTAATTTTTTTTTGGGGGGGGGGGCCAGCAACAATTTGGGGTGTCTCACCCCCCTATTTTTTTTGTTTTTGCTTTGCAGGACCCCTCCTAAAATCAAAGACAACAACTTTTTCCCCCATGGAGGACAACGAAACGCAGGGACGAGACCCCCAAGAGCCCACCACTGCCAAACCGGCGGTGAGGTTTTTTTTGGGGGGGCGGGGAGGATGCTGAACCCCCCCATATTTGGGGGACACACACACACACGAGCATCGCTTTGCTGCCTGTGAAAGCGAGAATGAGGAAGAGGAGGGTGAATTTCCCAGCATTGGGGGGGGAAACTTACCCAAAACAGGGCATTTTTGGGGACAGAAATGAGCTTCCCTCCCCACCCCTCCGCAGCTTCTAATTATTTTTTAATCCTGACGAAGGGGGAGGGGGGTGGTTAGGTTTTGCGCCCCCCCAGCAGCTTTTTATTTTTAAAAGAAAAAAAAAAAAGCCTCAAAATAGTTCAGCCGTTAAAATACCACGTCCGTCACAAGCGGTTAAAAGAATAGAAAGAAGAAGAAGAAGAATTAAAAAAATAAATAAATAAAAAAAAAATCAAGTACTTGGGAGCCGAGCAGCTGCTTTGCCCAAAAATAGCAACAAGTTTTATAACTCCGGAAAATGTAGAACAAACAAACGAGAAACATTTTTAGCTGAGAAAGGCGGTGGTGGGGGGGGATGGAGGATGAATTTCTGCCCGTCTGTTTTCCTGGAAGCCGTTCCTCGTGTTCTCGCACAGTTCCAGCGCTTTGACCAACTTGGCCGGCTGCCCGGGCTGCCGGCTAACGAACCGAGAGCTCGTTAAATGCCTTTGGGTTGGAAAGCATCCCCGAGATTGGCAACGGGGGGGGGGTGGGGAGGTTGTTGGGTGCTTCTGCTCCGCCTCAGTTTCCCCTTCGGCTCTTTCTCACACCCCCCGTGTCTCACAGGAGGCTCCGGTCCGGGACAATGGCTCCGAGCGGGAGAAGCCGGTGGAAGAAACGACAACCGGCGGGGAGAAGGAGGAGGAGGAAGCCTTCCTCGTCAGCCTCTACAAGTTCATGAAGGACCGACACACACCCATCGAGAGGATCCCCCACCTCGGCTTCAAGCAGAGTACGTCCCTCGCCGGGACCGGCAGGAGTTGCCGGCGAGCGCCGCGTCCCCCTGACCCTCGGTGTCTCCTCTTTTATTTCCAGTTAACCTCTGGAAGATCTACAAAGCCGTGGAGAAGCTGGGAGCCTACGAGTTGGTAAGCCATGTCCCCTGGGTGCCGGGATGTCCCCTGGGTGCCGGGATGTCCCCTGGGTGCCCGGGGCTTGGGGGGGGCGGCTAACCCATCCCTCCCTGCCGCAGGTGACGGGACGACGGCTCTGGAAGAACGTCTACGACGAACTGGGGGGCAGCCCCGGCAGCACCAGCGCGGCCACCTGCACCCGGCGGCACTACGAGAGGTGGGGGAC